TATGTGTGTATGTGTGTGTGTGTGTGTGTGTGTGTGTGTGTGCGCGCGTGTGTGTGTGAGAGTGTGTGTGTGTGCATGTGTATTTGTGTGTGTATACATGTTTGTGCATAAGTGTTGTTATGTTTGTGTAATTGTGTTTGCCAATGTATTAATGATTTAAAACAAATTTATCATTTCCAGTTACATAATACAACAGTCACTTTTTGTTTTTTTTGTCTTTTGTGAATTTCAATACAAGCACCAAGAACTGAGAATTCTAAAACTCTATACATTTTCCTTTAAAAAAAATTGTTGCTTATGGTTTCGGGGATCTTTTTTGATGCTACAGTTGGTTTCGTTGTTTTCAGGGCTTAAAAAAAATAAACCTTCGAGTTGACTCTCCTCGTGTAGGTTCACTTTGTTATGTAGACTTCATCACTTTTCCTACAGCTTGTGGTGTCCGAGACAATTCAGTTTATGATGCAGGCTTCGATTCGGAAATTATTTTAAAAGGTTTAACAGCTAGAAAACATATCAGGACTACATGCTAGAAATAAAATATTCTTTTACTATGAGGTGTTAAACTTCAACAAAAAAACATAAAAAGGTAAAAAATGAAATAAAATAATATAAAATAAAACCCAAGTGAGAGTTCACAAGAAGAAATACAATATATTTAATTTCTTTTTGTAAAGCCTACTTCATTAAATTGGCTTTGAAAAAGATTGATACTTTCTCTTAATCCACACTCCATGAGCAATGAATGATAGGATTCACAATCTTAGCCTGATGCAAGTTCCCTGACAACTTTTTCAGGGGACATTTGAGGCTGGATGTGGGAAGGTGGGGGTCAGCGAACGTCGATGCTTGTAGGTCATCTCCTCTCAATTTCTGTGTCTCTGGCTGAAGGGTTTTTACTACTACATTCTAGTCCCACTGTATTTAAGATTGTTTAGATATTAAATGAACACGAATTTGGGGAACGAATGACAAGCCGTTGTTATGTGACTGATGTTTGTTTCAACTTTGTTGACAAAGCCGGTTGCTCAACAAATCAAACAACACAAAGTTCTGATTGTTGCCATTCTACCCACAGCGTGATTCGACATTCAGTTTATTTTATATATGTATATTATGTATGAATTAATGAAATGATAATATATAACATACACTTGAAAATAAAGCCTATTATGAACGTTCTTTTCTGCCTTTTATTAGTTTTTAATGTTGCATCCCATTATCTTTCTGTCGATCTGTACGTTAATATAATTTTACATTTGCACGAGTGCATTTCCCTGCCTGTCTGTCAAAATCTCTAAAATTATGTCTAGGAACTATACACATGTCTAGGAAATAGTCTTCTTGCTCCATGCTCCTGTATATTATAGCTCTCTGTGTTTCTCCTTCATTGTCTGTCAAATTGTCTATAGTTGCCTTGCCTGATCGAAGAGTATACCTAACAAGTCGATTATATCATAACTAAGCTTAAAGCACTATCGTGTCGATCTGGTGGAGTGTATCCCATTTACCCTGGGTTGGAAATGACGAAGAGGACAGAAGAAGCTTCAAGTGGGATCTAAATTGCGGTGGTATAGATCTAGTTGTTTGGGTGGGATGAATTGCATACCTTTCTCATCAGTAAGTTTATTTATCAACTTTTTAAAAAGGTGGGAGAGGAGGAGTAGTAGTTCGCGGAGGCTCTGCTGCAGTTTGTTCCTTAACCTCCTATCAAACATCTAGATCTATCGTTGTCGGAGGACCAGAATGCGTGTCCTCAGTGAATGAAATTCAGAGGCAAGATCTCATATTTACAAAAGGTTTAAACTAAGTGGTTGGAGATTCATGAAAAATTCATCAACAGTTAAAATTTTTAAAATTCCCGCGTGGTGTTGGAACCGGCAGTCAGTAGCATCTCAGTTCTACACATTGCCAAATTATGATTGGGGGAGCAACAAGAGATACTTTTGCAACAACTCGTTTTATATCTCTGAGGGCATTTTATGTTTAGCTAAAACAATGTCGAAGAACATCGAATGTTGTCAATATGCCTCCTCCGTGAGTCAAATTTGAAACAGGGGTCAGCAATCATGGTTCACTACTCATTTCTTTGCCTAGATGCTTTAAAACAAACAAACAAACATAAAAACAACAACAACAACAACCAAAAACAACAGCAACAAAAAATCCAGACAGACAGACAGACAGACAGACAGACAGACAGACAGACGGCAGACGCACGAACGAACGAACGGCTCGAACGATTCGAACACCCCCTTCACAAAGCTTTTATCTATATAAGTTATTCTTGATCTACCTCTGCCTCTTCTGACTTCTATTTTTTTTCGGGTGAAAGTAAATGTTCAAGGTCTTTACGTGGATTCAGCTTAAAATATCCCAGAATTGTCAATATTCTCTTTCTAATTGTTTTTTTTATTAGTGACTGTCTCACACTGGCTTCTTTCATCACTGCCCATAGAATTAAGTCTACATCTATGGCACTGCCTCATTTGATTACGTTTCCATCCTTGAAATTCCTAACAGTCTCATCTATGCTAGGGTGATCCTAGGATCTCTCCTCTAAAATAACGGGAGTCAGGTTGCAAGGGCCATGAGATTTTAGAGAAGAACAAGAGAAAGCTTGTGAGAGCCATCAACGAGACTTCGTTGTTTCCCTGCCACCCCGCACTGCGACTGCAGTGCAGTAAAGATCTGATTACTCGATTATAAAGGCTGTAGCACAGTGCCAGGGTCCCACGACGCTCTTGATGGTACGAGAGGAAGGAAATAAAGTAAATGATATAATAGTAAGGCAGCCCAGGGCGTGTCGAGCTTGTCACAGTGGTGTTAGAATAGATTAATGTGACTTTTAAAACTGAAAAGTTCAAGTTTTTACATTCCCAAGAAAAAGACTTCTGTTGTGGCGGCCCCAGAGACGGCAAGTCAAATGTATAGATACGACCTTCACATTCACCCTTCCCATCTTCTGAGGTTTATTCCGTCTCTGTCAGCTTATTGGTATCGGTATAGCTCCTGCAATTAGGCGTAGTTGGTTTTCAACTTGTTAATCAGGAATTGATATTTCGAAACCAAGGGGGATCTCATATAAAATATCATCACCCCTTACAAAACAACTTCTAACCTGAAGAGGACCAAAAGTTTTTCTCTATGAAAGCACCTATTAGAAATCCAGCAGTAGAGCATTTCCTGTAAAACAAAATTAATTAAAAAAGCAGAAACAAAACAACAACAACAAAGCAGCGAGGGGGGTGACAAACGGGTAGACAGACAGACAGACAGACAGACAGAAAGACAGACAGACAGACAGAAAGACAGACAGACAGACAAACAGACAGATAGATAG